TCACTGATGGCGTAGGTTCAGATGCTGCAGCAGTAATGTCAATTGATGATGTTAATGAAGAAGCAGCTACCGTTACATCCTGACTATGGTTTATCGGCATTAAATGAGTTAGAGAAGGTTTGATCTTTGGTGATGTATGAAGTGATGAGTGAGTATTGGATTCATCTTGATTAATATCAAAAGAAATACAAGAATCTGTTTCTTCAGGAATATTTGATTTTTTATTTTGATCCATTTCTTTTTGTGTTGGTTTTGGTACTCTCGTTGTAGTTAATAAAGGTGTATCATCAAGACTATCATCATAATCAGAATTCATTTTGTTATCACGTTGATCTTTAATAATATATAATTCGTTCAAACATTCTTGTTGTGAACCTACAAAATATAGAACAGTACAAGTCCACTTTTCTACGTATTGATCTCTCCGCTTACCAACACAAAACAAAATTGCAGAAGTTGATTTTTCATCATTCATTTTGACTAAAACATTTGAACCTAATTTTATTTTCCCTTGTTTGTTTAGGTTAATTAAATCATTGTAATTGACAACCAATAGTTTCTTATCCAATAATAACTCAACTAATGCAAATTTTTCATCATTTTCTTTAGTCTGATCTTTTTCACATAACAACGCACTTTGTTGTCGAGTCATTGGTCTAGTTTTTGTTGTATTTTGACCTCGTACTTGAGGATTACCACCACCACGTCGTACTGTCTTTTTTCCGCGATACATTATCCCTTGACGTTCAATCTAGAAATGAAAAGCAGGAAAGTTTTATTATAATTAGAGCAACAGATGAAGAGCAGACAGATATTCCTATAGATATGGAGCTTCCAGGGTGAGGTACGAAAGACCATATACAATATTCCGGTCATAACCCTGATAAACCTTTCTACATCTTAAACAAGATGGCTTCTACTTCAGTATAAAAGATTCATTCTACACTCTTTTCGTATAACAGTGGTTAAATCGAAAAAAAATAAAGTGATAGTGTCTATATGCCTATCGCCTTTTCAGTCTACTTTAATACAACACAATCGTTTCTTTTTCTTTTCAATACTGTCTTCTTGTATAGTCCGTCCACGAATGTTGAGTGTATTGTTCTCTATGAAACGAACAACAATAACCCGTTTAGTATGTGTACAGTACATTTAGTTAACGTATCATATTTAATGTACCTAATAATTCTACTGGTGATTTCTTTTATAATTTTTTTTCTATTTATAAATATCTTAGAAGGAGCCTTTTTGAATAGTTTCACTTACTCATTAAAAAAACACATAACTTTTTGTATAGATGGCGTCACCATTCTGCTTGATTAAATGTATTTCTTAGAGCTGATTCAGTATCACTAAAATAATTTTGAATTTATGCATAGAAAAAAAAGATATTTTCTTGTAAAAAAATTATGCCATGGAAGTATTATGTTAAGCGGCAGTATAGAAACTGCACGGAATCAAAGCAAACATACACCAAAAATATAAGTTGCTTGTGATTGCTCG